CCATTCAACATTAAAATACTAAAAAATAAAAATGTTTTGTATGATTGGAAACCTGAATGAACCAAAAATCAACATAAGGCACTTGGGCACAATAACTAATGTTTAACAGTAAAAAAAAATGAGAATGGAAAATAAGAAATCTTAACTCTTAGCCTTACACTTCACAATGCGAATCTTGAGAACTGTTTTGTACCTACAGAATAAAACAAACCCAGCATGAAAGGAAGAAAAACCTATCAATAAATGAAAATACGATGTAAAAAACAAACCCAACATTGAAAAGAAACATTGTCTATGGAAAAAAAAGTAAACACCCACAGAGAAAAACAAAGAAATAAAAAAATAAAAAACAAATAAGAAATAAATCTTAAGAAAAAAAAGAGAGAGAACCGGAAGAAAATAGTGGAAAGAAAAAAGAAAACAACAAAGATAAACAAACACAAAAAAAGGAGAGAAAGTTTCACAAGCTGCAAACAAAAAGGGTGAAGAAATCAAAGAGAGGCAAAATACTGAAGAGAAAAGACCAAAAAAGATAGAAAAATAAGGCAAAACCTATCTCAATACAATTCTCAGTCAAGTCACAATAAAAAAACCATATTTAAACACCCATTGCTCTCAATAACACAGCACCACAAGTCAACAACCATGGCTAAAGAAAAAAGACAAAGGAGCGGAGAAATCAAAGAGAAAAACAATAGTGAAGAAAAAGACCAAAAAAGATAGAAAAATGAGACCTTGTTAGTGTATTTGTCTCTTTAGCTTAATAAATTGACATTGGTGTACAATCATTAAAATAATTTAAGAAAATAAGCAAACAAAATATTTTAAAAAGTTACATATTAAATAAGGATTTTATGTAATTTATAATATATGTATATCATTAAATAATCAATAAAAAGGTAATAATCTTTTCTTCTTTTTGTTTCTAAAAAGGAAAAAAAAAGCATTGCTATTTGCTTGTAGGCTTCGTCAACTTTTCTTTCCCTTTGCAAAGAGAAAAAAAAAAACTCTTCCTCCTCATAAACCAAAGAATAAGAAAAATGTCCACTTTCTCTCTTGGTAACTCTTCTGTTTAAAACGCCCACACTTTCCCTTTGTCTCTATAATCCATCAAATTCATCTTTTCTTCCTTTTCTTCACATTTCTTCTTCTTTAATCCATCAACTCTAACAAATACCTTCAAAACTACAACTTTTTTCACTTTTTCGAAAAACCCTAATCGAAATTCACTTCCTTTTATTAAAAAATTTAATAGGGTTCTCTAAAATTTTTACTATCTAAACCTTAAAACCTTTTTTTTTTACTTCATTTTTTTCTTTCAAAGTGAAAAGTTCAATAAAGGGTATTGTTTGAGAGCCTATTAGTTTTTAGCTTATACACATTAATCTTTCTTCCACTCCTGTAGGATCTTTACACCCTCTATTAATAGATGTTAGTTATTAATTTGTTTTACTACTACTTTGGTCTACATTCTCCAAGGATCCTAAACCCACTGTTAATGAACAAATCTAAAAATCAGTAAAATTCGATGAACAGAGAGCACAAAGAAAGGAAATTGATAATAAATCATAGTTACAATACAAAGAGGAGATTACCTTGAAGAGATTATCATTGATACTAAGGAGTAGACCTGTCAATATGGGTCGGGCCGGCCCAGCCAGGCCCTAACCCTTGTGGGTTGAAAAAATATGGGTTGGGTCGGGCCAGTCCATATTTTATACGAGCTACAAAATCCTCAACCCAGCCCACCCTTTGCTAACCCATGGGCTAGGTCGGGCTAGCACATTTTTTTCAAAAAAAAATTATTTTAGTGAAATAAATACAACTAT